ATTGCAAGCACCGCTTGCTGAGTTGCTCTCGTCGCAGATCGCATGCATTCCGTACGACCCTGTGTAATAAGGACAACTTTTTTTTGAAAGTAGTTCTTCGCTCGATAAAAGTGCACTGCTAGATTATTTAAACTGACTTACGAGTCACCCTATACAACTTATAAATAGAGTGTCACAGGCTAATAAAGCTGCAAAATGTTCACGATTAGTCTCCAGCAATTCATACGATAACAGAAAAAAATCATGTGAAATTACACATAACTGATGAATAATTCGCCCTCAAATATAAAAATATTCCTTTATAAAATTATACGGATAATTACGACCTATTCATCTCTCAAAATGGTTTCTCATTCAATTTCATGACTCAGAGAGTGCTCTAGGAATCAACGACCTATCGAAAAACAATCTTATTAAAAAAAACTGCACAAGTGAATTACTACCTTCAAGAAGGCGGCAGTGCTGCACGATTCATAGGTTGGTACAAAATCTTTATAGAGTCGATGGAATGCTAATTGAATTGCTAGTTGCATCATTGCATCGGGCGATAACTTTGCCTTCTTGAGCGAATCTCGTGTCATTCCGAAATATTCCACTATTCCGAACTGAAGTGATGAACCGTTGGCGAGATGCTTCGATTGAGCATCAGCTACAGCACCTTTCAGTGAATCGTTCAGGGTGAACTCTGAAAATCAGATGATACATATGACGATCAAATTATAACTTCTTAGTTATAATCTGATCACGAAAACGTGCTATATTCGATGGATAACATGAACTTGAAAAAAAAACAACAGGCCAGAGCAATGGTTCAACTGATAGTTCTCACCAATCGGTCGACAATGTTTCTCGATAGGAACGTTTTGATCAACCTGCTGATTTGGATCAACGAAATGATTGCGATTTGTGTCACGATACGATTCTTCCATTAACCTCAAAACCGCCACTCCATCGCCCCACGAATGCTCGAAATTTATTGTCGACTGTCCACGAGCATCCACTATCAACTGAAAACATTTGTCGAACCATCTGAAAG